TTGATATGGAGAAAAGAAAAAAACATAAAGAAAACTTCTCCATAACTATTACTCTTTAAGAAAGGAAATTACACTGCCTTACTTCATACTGCATAAGGGTATTAAGTCTCTTAAAGCATTCAGCTCACTCCTTGACACTAAGTGCCAGCACTTCTAAAGAGAAAAGTCCTTTTCCATTTCAAGTAATTCCTCTTGCATTTTAATACTGAAGACCAAGTGCAAAGTTAATGCTAAAGAATACATTCTACCCAATCTAATCACGCTTAGATTAAATATCTGCTGTACAGAAAATATACTTTATCACCCACAGACTACTGGAATGCAGGATGCTGAGAATTTAGGAAGAGCTGGTTGATGAGTTCCAGGTTCTTCCCAAGAAGGAGAGAGTCATTGTCCTCCCAGCAGTGGGCAACAGTAGCAGAACTGCTCTTTATACTTCCCATTCAATTAAAAGATATAAATTAAGAAACTTATGCGTGGACTGTATATTTAGAGAAGCCAGACTGTAACTAAATCAACAGTCTATAATCCTTATTTGCAAATAACCAAGTGCCGTGTTTGACAACCTAGGTAACTTCTATCAGTTGTCTTAAAACAGCTTGACTATGGGGCAGACAAGTTATAGCAAAGTAAACTTGGGTTTCACTTCACATTTACTGTAAGTAGGGTCACAGTATAATTTAGACTGAAAGGATCTCAGGAGGTCCCCAAGATTAACCTCCTGCACCCAGCAGGGTCAGCTCCAAGGCCACATTGCTCAGGGCTTTATCTAGTTGAAAACATCCCAAGCAGAAGCTGCACAACCTCTTTGGGCAGCCTGTTCCACTGATTCACTGTCCTCACAGAGGCGTTTCATTACCTTTAACCAGAACCTCTAGTTTCAAATTATGTCATTGCCTCTCATCCTCCCACCACACACGGCTGTAAAAAGCAGACGGCTTTCCTGACAGCTTCTCCACATTTACTGGAAGGCTGCTATTAGCTCCTCCTGAAGTTGCCCCTTCTGTTACACTAAAAATCTTGTTTAAAGAGGAAGCATAACATATATACAAGTAAAGCTAAGGATTTATTGTTAGCATATAGAAATCTTAATCTAATTCAAGGATTGCTATTAGCCTAGATCTAATTATTATAGGAAAAGAAAGAATAATAATGCAGTTAGAGTTGAGAAAGGGGCTGTGATTCTTCCACTTACAGAATCACAGACTGGTCAAGGTTGGAAGGGCCCCCTGGAGATCATGCAGTCCAACTCCCCTGCCAAAGCAGGGTCACCTACACCAAGTTGCACAGGATTGCATCCAGGCGGGTTTTGAATATCTCCAGAGAAGCAGACTGCACAACCTCTCTGGGCAGCCTGTTCCAATGCTCGGCCACTCTCAAAGTATAGAAGTTATTCCTCTTATTAAGATGGAACTTCCCGAGTTTCAGCTTGTGCCCGTTGCCCTCAACTTGTCACTGCCTAAGCATCTGCCTCTAAAAGACTAAGTTACTGTGCTGAAGGTAGTAAGACTGCTTATGTGTCAGTAGTTTGAGTATCAAATTTACAGCACTTATTTCCCACAATTAAGAAATCCAAAATTCAAAGCTTAAAGTGTCTGGACAAGCTTAACTATCTTCTAGTTAAGATGGGAGGAAAAAAAAATTATGCGAAAGCCCAAATTTGAGAGGACATCCATGTGCCTATTTATTCCCCAGTGTGTATAACTAGTGAAGCATTTGTGCAGACTCCTCATTTTCAATTCTCACCTTCTTCTTCTACCTTTTGCTAGGAATGAACTAGCTGTGAAGCACTTTCTTCACAGCTAGCTCATTCCTTTAGCTGTGAGGCACAACATTTTTTTCCTTTGGTTGATTATCCTTCCAAAAGCCAGTTAAAAATTGTCAACCCATCCTCCAGATCCTTTATCCTAAAGATTCCTTGAAAATCTGTGACCTTGCACAGCAGCTTAAAAGCATATGCATTTATAACAAGCTCATAAGGAGCTAAAAAACTCAAAATGTATTTTGTTGTTCAAAGCACATCAAAGGAACACTTTGCTAATCAAATCTCAGTTACAGCTCTTCACTCTGCAGCGTAACAGGCCGAGTCTTCCATCCTGTTCAGCGATAAATCTAGAGAGACAATTTTGTTTCACAGAGAACCCTAGCATGAACTCTATAGACATACACACCCAGAGAATCTCCGAAACGATGTGTGTGTTGGGAAATGCCACACTGCTCATGGTAAGCCACCATGTCCGAGAGACACATTCTGTGCGCTGCATGTAGCAAGGGGGGTGGGGAGAGGGCAGTACACGCAGGGCAGACAGACAAAACTGGAGAAAGCAATACAAAATTACTTCTAGAATCACAGGATAATTCAGAGGGGAGATTAAGGAGGTCTCCAGCCCACTCTCCTGCTCAAAGCTCGGTAAGCTACAAGGTTGGATCATGTTACTCATGGCTTAATCCAGCCTTCTCTTGAAAACCTCCAAAACAGAATTTTTTTGGAGAGCAATCTCTCTGGGCAACCTAGTCCACTCTCTGACTGTCATAAGGGTGAAAAATTTTTTCCTTATGTCTTGGCAGAACTTGTCCTCTTTCAAGTTATGCCTGTTGTGTCTCAACCTCCCACCAACCACCCCCTGAGAACAGTCTTGCTTCATCTCATTCAGTAGCTTCTTTAAGTTCAGCTACATGCTTTAGCATCTTCTGATTACAAAAGTAGTCTGGATTTCTACAAGATGAGCAAAGTCTGTGTTTTTAGTAAGATGCAGTAGACGTGCAAGCAAACTGACCTTCCAAGAGGCTCCCTTTGATTCTAGTGATAAGGAGCAACTCCAGTTGTTAAGAGTGATCCAGGAGTCAACAGCTGTTCTTGCAAAAGAGGGGGCTTACTCTTCATTAATTATTTTACAGTATTAATATTTTTAATAAAACCATCCTGACTGATAAATGAAGTGTCAGTTTCTGAAAAAAACAAATTCCAGACAGGAAACCCTTAGCACCTCAGATCAAGGGATAAACAATCAACCTTATTAAACCAACAAACCAAGTTTATTTATAGAAGTCTGTACAGTTGTGATGGACTATGCTAGGACACCAATGAAACAAAGCAAACAAACCTCTCCCTAATGAGTGGGAGGTGTAGTCACTCACCTTTACATGCACTTAAAGGAAAAAAGATTACAGCTTTCATACACAGTTCTGTAACTATTCAAGAGTACTTTCTTGATGTATTATTCTCAATATAAGTGGTTTGCACGATAATTTACTGACTGTTGCCTTTTAAAAACCAGGATTTCAGCAGAATCCAGAGACTTTGAGGGTAATTGGCAGTTTCATGGTTGCAGATAATGAGGACATAGTCCATCATTCAGATCTGCATTCTAAACTCACGGCATCTCCTCTGTTTAGGTTACCTCCACTAAAAGCTACTGGCAACACTGTATGGGTCTTGTCAACATTTTGGCTGTAGTACAAGCTATTCTTGTGTTACCAAACGTAGAAGTTACCTGAACCCAATACTTCAAGGGCAAGCATATTAAAAACACTGAATTTGAGTTAACTTTACCTTTAGAGACCACTTGTCACTGCACCTCAGAGATCTGAGGCATTTCTGTGGAAAAATCAGTTCCTGAATTCCTTCATTTGGCAATTATTTCTGCAAAGTATTGGAGAGTGATTATTTTGAAAACTGGCTATTGCAAAATAAGTTTATATTTTTTATTACAAATCTGTAACATCACTGAAGCTGTTGAAAAAAACAAAATCGTATCAAATGCATATCTACATAGTGAATCATGATGTCTCCTATGAAGTTATCATGGTAGATTCCGTAAATCCACTCTTAAAAAGTTAAAAGTACATATATGTGAGAGCCTACTACAACTCCAGAGAAGCTGCTAAAATAGGCCATCAAATAAAGCAGTCTATGATTACATATTTACAGAATAACCCACGTGTCCTAGAACTATGGACTATTCAGTAAATAAGTATTGAAAGATTTCTAATTATTTGTTTACATGGTAGATAAGAGCTGCTTTATCAGTTGATCTTGTTTTTATACACAGTTCATAGTATCAATCTGCACACAATTACATGATGTTTCTTTAAAGCTACTGTTAAAAAAAGGAAGAGAAAGTTAAATAAGAACTAGATTAAAGTTTCATTAAGAATCCAACAAGAAAGTATCAAACACAGGTTTAAACATAACCAGTGTATGATTTCAGAAAAACAGTAATGCTCTGACACAAGAAGAGCATCAGCATTTTCCCTCTTCAGGGTCCCCCAGAAACATTCCTATCCAGTTCAGTGCTTAAGTTATTATATACGTACTGGTCTGAGTAGGAACAAACACGTGCTTGCACGCTTACCTGAACGAGGACCTTTTAGACTTCTAATTCTCTTTTAATGTAGTTCTTAGCTCCGTATATTCAGTTGTATCTTGTTTGGAAAAGTTCTTTGTTAAATGTCACTTATATTTACACTTTGATTTTTTTTTTTTTTTTTTACACCTGAGTGATAATTTAGCTGTCACTTTGTGTCCAGTCAAATATTCCATAAAGCCATACAATTCTTGTGCTAGTGTTGCACTCCACTTGTACCAGTTTATATATGAAAAATGTGCATCAGCTACCTCTCATACATTACCCACTGACCTTTCTACCATGTCCTTACTGTGTCCTTCCCCTTCCACACAATGTGATTCTATTATTTTTTTTCGTTTTTTTTTTGTTTGTTTGTTTGTAGAAACCTCATTTAAATGGTTCACAAAGCAAGAAACAAAGCGAGCTGGAGCCCAGAGAAGACATGACGACTTAACAAATATGTAATATTGCAGGCTTGGAGAAGAAATTAAAGCCCAACCAATGAGCACCCCAGGGCCATCCCAGACAAAGCTACTCCACTCAGTTACAGCTGGAGATATGCTATAGACGACAAGTCCAACATCAAGAGCTGCGTACCCCTCTCTCATCAGTTACGTGTAAGTGAAAAAAGGAACATGAAGTTAAACAGCTATATCAGCCAAGCCGTTTTAGTAAGAATCACATTTAATGAGTTTGTTTCTTGCAATTTCAGATGCTCAAGTACAGCTGGTAGAAATTCAAAACAGCCGTAAAGAACTGTGACAGACGGATACAAATAGTACTGCAGCTTAAAAATGATAAAAAACACCTGAAAAAAAGTCACACAACCCTCCCAAAAAAATTTACACTTTGAACCTAAGCCAGTTTTTGAAGACTCCCTTCTCCAAAGCTAGTACGAAGGAGGAAGAAGAGGAAGAAAGTGCAGATGACCTTCCAGCCACAAAGGTCTTGCGCCAATGTTTATTCACTGTGCCTGTGGTGGTATATGTAAAGGGGAGATCACCAAGTGCTGTTTCTGCAACCACCAAGAGATTCCTATGGAAATCCAGACCTCAGGCTAATACTGAACACAGAGTGGACCAACGAGCTGCATCAACAAAATAAAAACAAAACTCAAACTAAAAGAAATGGGAAAACCCCAAATAGCACAGATCCACATTTGTGAGGGGGCAGGAGGAAAGGGCAAGAAGGGAGGTCTATACAGTAAATAGTTGAATGGTTTATGTTACAGATGACTGGCAGTTTTAAAGAGTCTCTTCCCAGCTCCGTTGCTGCTCCAACCCAGAAGGGAGAACTGAAAAGGGAGGAAGAAAAGGTAGGACATCGTCATGGAGCATGCAGGATCAGAAGCAGCAGAGTGGGCATGCTCAAATAAGCCCCCGCCTCTTTTTGTAGTCCTCCAAGTTCAATGATCGCCGAGGGGCACCATCTTTTGCTGGTGGAGCCTTGGAGGTGATGGCCAGTGCCTTAGATTCTGTTGGGGATAAGAAAAGAGTAAGGACCAAAATACATGAAAATTACAGATTTCTACTTGTTGCTTTTGCTGACAACCTCACCACAAAAATCACGTTTGGCTGCTCTAGTATACATCAGGTTAGAACTTCAGTTAATAATATAGGTAGTATCTGGTACCTTATCTTCATAAATAAAGCATGTGCAATTTTGACTCTGTTCGTTAATCCAGCTTTCTGCCGACAAATATACTTTCATTTCTTAAGAAAACTACTCTATAGCACACTGAAATCACAATACAAACAGAACCTTCAGGCTCAGTTCTGAGATCTTTGATAAATCATTATCCCATGAGAACAGCAAGTACAAAGAGACAGATAATAAGTGGACAGAAGTCAAACTTCCTATCCAGGTCTACAATACATATTTTAACCAATCCCTAGGTTCTTCTGTTAAGAAAGGAGACTGCACAAAGCAAGATGCCAAAATGGTGTTCTGTCTGAGGAAAAAAAAATAAAAATAGCCATACTTAAACCTCTACCTATATTGTGTCTCATCCTTCTCTTTTCAGTCCAGTCCTCTTCCTGGTTTTCAGTATCCTTTAGTGCCTAACCCTCATCTGCTTGCTAACTGAAGCATAAGTTAGTTCATAAGTTCTCTGAAGTCATAACTCTCTGAAGTCATATGTGCCAGGGGATGTTAACTCTCACTATCTGCTTCAAGAAGTCTCCTATTCTTGGCATCCTACCTCATTCTATAGTCTTAAGTCCAGAATTCCAATCTTGACCTAGTGGAAAGACAACCTCTCCAACTTTCCCTTCTTGACAAGGTTTTTAGTCTTTGTGTGTTCTTACATACTTCCTAAACTGTTGTCCTCCAAGAAACTTCAGCTCTAATCCTTCCAATAACGCAAGAAAAAATAAGCCTTGTGAGTCATATTGCACTGGTATACTCCCATGCTTTCCCTCCACTGGAAAACAGCTTGATAGGATGAGAGGAAACAGCCTCAAGTTGTGCCAGGGGATGTTTAGATTGGCTATTACGAAAAATTTCTTTACCAAAACGGTTGTCAAGCACTGGAACAGGCTGCCCAGGGAAAGGGTTGAGTCACCAGCCCTGGAGGCACTTAAAGAATGTGTAGACGTGGTGCTTAGGGACATGGTTTAGTGGTGGACTTGGTAGTGTTAGGTTTATGGTTGGACTCGATGACCTTAAGGGTCTTTTCCAACCTAAATGATTCTATGACACTAAACTGTTCTTGCCACACATCTTGGGCTGTCAAAGTCAAGGTCACAAAGAGGAAGGGGTCAGCAAGTTTGTGTCTATAAGCATACCTTCACTCCCTGCCCAGTGTTTTGGTTCTCCTAAAATTTTGCTTCAATACCAAAGTCAGGGAACAGCAACTTGGTAAAGCAGCAGGTTCAAAATCAAATAAAAATACTTTATCCACATAGCATGTATACAGATTATGGAACACGACATCACAGACACCTAAAGCTTATCTGTCCTCAGAAACGATTAGACAAATTAACAAAGTAAGCATCAAGGTAGATATCAAGGCTTATTAAATACAACACTCTCATCTGTTCCCCAAAAGTTATGCAAGTCATAGATACTGTAGACTGGAAGAGTACATCAGAAAACACTCATTACCACCTTTTCTCCCTAGACATTTGGAGTAAAGAGATGGAGATATGCAGCCTTTCAGTCTAACACAATACAGTTGTTCTTGTTTTCTCAATGGATGCCACTAACACACATCCCCTCCTCCTCAGTTCAAGATACCTGCCAAGATGAAAAATAGAGTCCTTGCTCCCATTTTCAAAAGCCTACCAATGATTTTGAAAGAACAGTTCTGGAAGAAGTGAATTTTATCGTAGTGAGCCGGACAATCGCATCCCCAAACTCAGCTGGAACACCTACCTGAACTGGGAACCTGAAGATCAATCTTTACATCAAAGTCATGCACTTTGAAAAGATCCTCCGAGAGGTCACTGGCTGATTTAGAGTTCACATCTTTATCCTTCCCTTGACCCTGAAATAAAAACCACAAATAAGTCTCCAACTCTTATCTACCCAGATAAACAGAGATAAAAATGCTTCTTCTCCACTTCTGTCATAAACATCCTTAGTTTAGCTTTCATACTGCTACAGAAACTTAATTTTCTTTCCCCAAGGAAAAAAAAAAAAAGCTGTTTCTTTTCTATGATAATGTTCTACAGGATATCTATTTCTGGAAGTGAAACATGCACATCTACTATTAGCCATAAGGTTCTAGAGCAAAATGGTGACAGTGGGAGGAACGTAACAGAGAGAAATGGAAACTTGCCTTACTCATGTCCTTTGGAGCATCTGGTAATACACCAGAACCGTATTTTGCATTTAGCTGGGCAAGGATGGCAGCTTGGACAGCAGGATCTCTGGACTGCAGGGTGGACAAAGGAAAAAAAAAAAAAAAACAACACAAACCCCCAAAAACCACTGTATTTAAATTGGTGAAAACTACACCGACATTTTGTTAAAACAGCATTCATATCCATGAACCTAAAACCATAAGAGGCTGTAGGTCAGTTAGCCCAATCTTCAGGATCTCAGAGGCAACTGAAATTGATACCTGTGGAATGCATCTGACAGCAACAAACTAAAAGTTATCCTTCAGGAAGTCTTTCTTTGAGAAAATGAGAAATTCATTTCCTGTTGATATGGTTTGCTCCCATGGCTAGTCTTAACACTCGTTAGATGTATTTGCTTTCAGCTTACAGTTCTGGCTGAAACACTCTACTAGAGAGAAGAAATCTTTAGAAGACTATTTTCTTTACATAATAGTTGTCTACCTTAATAACGCTACTTGGTTATTATTCTTTTCTAATAAATAATTATTTCTGAAATAATTCTTTAATTCAAACCCTGCAATAAAAATCCTTTTCTATTGCCTTGCCAGTTTGTGGAGACTGATGAGAGCCAACCTGATCAGTTTGGGTTTTTTTAAGTACTGATATCAGAACGGATACTATTCGGGAACAGGCCTCAACAAAGCCAGGTTACTTGAAAGTACAAGCTGATCACCTTGCTATTCATCATTTATATTACTAGGGACTGCAGTACCAGGTTTTGCCACAGTATCATGAAGGAAGTTTAACACAAACTACTTTATCTATCACAGGCCCAAAATGTCTAGTCTCCTCTCCTTTAACAGATCTTTCAGGAGAGTTTCAACAAATTAGAAGAGAAACTCACACCTAAAGCAAATTGCCTTCCCAGCCCTAACTAAATCTGAGTAATTCTATACAGAAGAATTCACTACAGAAGTCTAAACCACAGTTGCTTCTCCATGTACATACCCACATCACTTATGTCCTTCACATTTTGCATTAAAAAAAAAAAAAGGAAAAATTTGCTTTTTAATTCTTTTGAGGTAGTGAGACCAGGATCTCACTCAACTATATTTTACCTTGGCATGTGGAGCACTAATAGCATATGGCACAGTTGGGAATGAATAAAAACAACATTTTCCTTCCTACTTGCTGCATTACATTCGTTTCTGTTTCTCTGCAAATTGCCTCATTTGAACTTAAGTATTACACTCACATTAGACACTATTGTGGGTTTGCACTGCCGCCTAGTAAAGGGGTCCATTTGTTGGTTTTTCATGCTGTGACTTTCAGCCTGAAGAAAAAGCACATGGTTTTTCAGAGTTAGCTGCTTGCACTCTTGTAAATCCTCCCACAGCACCCTGTCCATGCAAGCACTCATCAGCTATATATAATATCAAGGTCGGAGGAAAACCAGCTACAGCATTACAGATTAGAAAGATTTTGACACACCCACAGCCCTATGCTTCATGGGGCCAAATCGTCCTTATTGAATATAACACAGAAAATAGGTGCACAAATCTCAAGATAGGTATGGCTTAACCATTTGTTAAAAGCTTAACTTTTCCTTAATAGAAGTGTCACCGCAGAGAACTGATTATTTCCTTTACTATTTTATTCTCTGAAGTCTCCTTTCTGATTTCTTTCCCATACAAAATGCACTAAGTCACTATTACAGTCAGTAATCTTCTGATAATTGAGTTGATCAAAAAGATAAAGCAATCTGCTTTAAAAAGTCATTTGCCTCTATGAAAGATTTCATAGATCATTAAAAAAATTGAGTAACTTCACCATGCAATTATCCCCCTTTGCATCATCTCATCTCTACTTGTACAGAAGTATTAATTCAGCACTATTTACCACAAGAGCCTTCTCAGACTCAACGATATTCCACTCTCTGTTTCTCTGGTTGATGTAACTGCAGAAAGGAAAAAAAGGAGGGTGGGAGAAGGAAAAAAGTGACTGTCATTTATCAATCCCTACACAACAAAATGCCTGACAGCATTCTTGCAGCTTCATCTTGATCACAAATTACTCTTATTGAAACACAACTGCTACCTGGGGTATGTGGAAGAGAGTTTGTTTTTGACAGTTTTAACTGAATGACAGATACAAGGAAGCGAAGATAGGCAAACATTTCATGAATATATTGTACAGGAAAGAAGAGACAAAATCTTGCAGTTAACTCACTACTGCATTAGTTTCTCTTCTCTGTATATTTTTATTGATACTATTTAAGAAAGAAAATTCCCAGTATCTGCCTCTTACCTGATTGCAGAAATGTTTTTTGTTCGTTGACGATCCAGGGCCTCTGCTCTCTCTTCAAGTTCATTAAGCTGATCTTGAATCTGTTTGGCCTTATCTTGGTCCCCCAAGTCCTCAGCCATAGCCTGCAACCAAACAGTAACTCATTAGGCACTACTCTCTACCACAGAGCTAGTCAGGGAAACTAGGGACAGACCCATGAATCAGCCAGCTAACCCTATTCCAGTCGCAAATGTTCTACCCTGCATGGTAAGAATACAACAAAGAGCTAAACTCTCCTTACGGCTTAAGTCAAAACAGGACTTCTTACTCTGAAGAACTCTGAAAACCTGTGAAACCCCTTAAACTATGGAAGACATAAGAACACTAGTCCCAGCATGAGGAGGGCAAGCCAGGTAGATGATTTAAGGTCTGATTAACATTCAGTATCACTATTTACCAGCTCAGGAAAAGAATGATTATTTCTGCAACTGCCAGTTGCCTATTACTTCAGGGAATTGGAGAGTCTCGTACTACACCACCAGACCAACAACGGTAGCTTATCGTGCCACCTGGTGACAACAAAAAGCGATTGCACCCTTCTGCAACGGAAAAATAACAATTCACGTATTTGTGCATAGTAAAATGATGGCCAAACAATACAGTTAAGCCAAAGAATGTAAAACTAAAGATTAATACAAACTTTGTTTTTACTGTACATGAAGCACAAATGTCTGGAAAAAGGACCACACAAATAAAACCAAATAAAACCAAAACATGTTACGTCTATCTTTTTCTTCAGAGATACTTAAGACTGCTTGTTTTCTTGATTTCTCAGCTTTGGCTTCTCAGCACTGTTAGATCTATTTGTTCCAGAAGGTCTACATGTAAAACAGTTCAGTGGCAAGTAAATCTTTTGACAACCTATTCTTTTCAATAGAAATTACTGGCCATAAAGTCACAATTCAGTCACGCCTGAGTAAAAAATTGTGTTAAATTGTCTTTATTTTCCTATTTTAAAAAGTATAGGAAATCAACTTTCAAATGCTATTATGGGTACTCGGGGCGGGGGGTGGGGGGGAAGAGAAAAAGTTTCTAAAGCAGAACAGCTTAATACCTTCTTGTTTAACATACACAAAAAGAGAGAGACAGCTATAATTGTTGGCAATAGCCCTTAGAAAAAGAATGCAATAGCTTTAACTGGGTTCTAAGTGTTCTGAACCCAGCAATGAACCTTGAGATCCACCTTTTAGCTGCATAAAGTCGAGCTTACTGCTGACTACTGCCAAAATCCAGATGAGTTCCAGTTCTTCAAAATCAAAGACTGCATTAAGTTTGCAGGCATCATCTCATTTCTCACCTTCTCCTTTAACAGCTGAGTTTTCTTCATAGCATAATTTGGAGGTGCTTTTCTGAACCTTTCCTTCTCTTTCACAATCTGTAAGATGCAGAGGAAACAGCAAGAATATGCAAATACGAAATGTCTATTTCAGTATTTGGACACTAGAAGCAACAGATCAGTATCACCTAAGAAATGTACTTACTGCCCCACAATTTTACTCAATGCTCTGCTGCATTTTTTAATTTGTGACTTGGTAATGAGTTATAGCTCCATTCCCCTCACTTACGACCTACCAAAATCTGATGCTAATCACATTTGATCACTATTAAGGAAGTATTAAACTGCAGAAACTGTGATAAATGCACCTATCGTGATGCTGTTAGCTTTTCAGAACTTGGGAACTAAGTTGCCATACTCAGGTTAGGAGTTCAGAGCTCTACAATGTAAGTTCAAGAGGAGGTAACAGGGCACAAAGGATGAAGTAAAGCAGGAGTGAGCATCAAACAACAGTTGGATCACTAGCCTACTCTATCAGTTATGCAACTTCATTTTGACCCTTTTATTTTCTTCTTAGGAAGCAAATACCATGATCATTTTGCTTTGTAACAGCTAGTGCTCTATTCCATTAATTCCTGTCACCATTAAGCACTGCAACAGCCTCACTACAACACACTGTTTACCTCTTCAATGTCCTGGTCATTAAACTTGTAGTTGAGGGCTTCTTTGATGGACATTTCCTTCTTGTTTATCTCATCTAGTGTGGGTAGCTGCATCCCAGCAGAGAACATCTAAACACAAGAGACAAAAAGGTTACTTGCCACTTCAAGTATCCTTGGCAGAAGGCTGCTAAGAAGAACTAAAGTCTGGCAAACTTACCGCTTCCTTCCACTTCATAAACTCACTTTCAGTAAATTCCTGATTTGAGACAAACTCCAAACGAAACACACGTGAATCACTGCCATGCCTGCAACAAGAAAGTGTAATAACATCCTTCTCTGATGGTACAGAGCTGCAATCTTGGATCTATAGGTGTAAACTGATGCAAGAAGCCCAAAATCAGACACTTAAGGCTACTCCTGTGGCTGGCATGCTACGTATTCCTAACTTCAGTCAGGTCAGTCACAGTTCAGGAGCCTACATCAGCTCTTAGTAATAATGCAAAGAAATACTAGACAGTGCGTCTACAGAAAACAGTCGCTCAGTTGTGGCACTAAAAACCTCAAGAGGAAATGGAAACAGACCTCTCTCACACATAATCTTTACATACCCTACTTGGTGACCCATAGCACGATCTTTGGAAACACAAAGCTCCTTCATGTCTGGACCAGTAGAAGTAACCTTTAAGCAGTACTGAATTATACAATGCTGGAGCCAACCCCTACCTAATTTTTCATTTGTTGGCCAGTAAAGAGTCAGAAATCCCTAAACATTTTCTGCAGAGCACTACCAGCTAAACTACTATATTGCTACTAGCCAATACTAAAATCGGTTGCCATGGTGTAAATTTCACTCAAAGCATGGAGCTCTCTCCTGAGGTAGCCTAAGAAGTTATTGAACATCACAATGGATTTAGGTAAGACTATTTTTTTTTTTACTCCACACTTGTACCCACAAGCATTCTCCACGTGCATTGCTGTTTCTCCCAAATGGTTAATCTCTTCTTGTCCTATCTCACCAGGATGTTTTGTATTGTAACTGTTAACTTTCACCTCATGATCCTTATAAGGGCCCTAAGAACAACTGAGAAATCCAATGCTACATTCAGATTCTTCCCTCCAAAGCACCATTTTATGTTGTATGCCAGACCCAGTCATGTATGCTTTTAAATGATACATATTTCTAACATCCCATTACAGCAACAGTGGAGAAAAGATAGGAAAGAGTATTGCAAAGGTTAAGAGGTATATACAAACAGTCATCGGTTACTAACGCAAATGAACTGCTCAGATGTCCACACAATCACAAGTCCCTGCATGAGATTTTTTTTTTTATAATTTCCATTATCCAAGGAGAAAAAAACCCAAACAAACCAAACCCCAACATTCTAGCAGTAAGTGGCCTGGCAAGGCCCAGTCTGCTTTTTAACTGTCATCTCCAAACCACACACAGAACATTATTTGCTATGAAAAGGACACTGATTCATGAACTGATGAGGATTACTTTGGTATCTTACCGCAACTGTAGTCCTTTGTTTGTCCGAGTACCACCAAGCTGGTAAACCTTTGCAGTCTCTACCACACCAGTTATTTCAGCAACCTATATCACAGAGTAAAACACACAAGAGGATTTTTTTTTGTGTGTGTGTTCCTGGAATATATTTGGCATATTCAAGCCTTTTCACTAGAGATCAGAAACCTTAATTTAACTAACAACTCTAACTAGTTTAAGGAAAGCAAGACTCTTCAGTGTACATTATCAGGTACTGAATTAGTTGCTTCATGCATCACCTTTGAGCCAACAAATTATACCATCCGAATGCTCAATGCAGTTTTTCTATCTTCTCAGTTCTGCCTTCTTGACCAAATGTTGTACACTTTCCTATTTCCTCTTCAATTAATGCTGGTTTGGGTTAACATATGTTCCAAATGAACTACACCAGTGCTGCTCACATATTAAACACAGCCCCTCTAGGGACCTTCTTAATGCAATTTTAGAGACTATTATTGCATCCTATGATTGCACAGTTACAGCAATGAAACAGAAAAACAAAACCGTGCTCTCATTCACCTTCTCTTTTGAGGCACACTGATGTGCTACAAACACTTTGTAAAAAAAGAACCGAGACCACGCAGTAACTTGGGAACACTCCCAGAAATAAGGAGTGAATGTTACTCATCCTTACTTGGTCAAAGCATAGTCCTGAACTCTAGTTTGCAATACAAATGATGAGACAAGACAGCACGAACCAAAGCTGGAAGAACAGGCTTTTCTTAGTGCTCCCTCTCTCTCACTAAATATATCTCTTTACCTAGCTGGTCCCATAGATTTATTTATTTTTAAATCAGATGACTCCACTTCTTTGGCAGCAATTATGTTTTCTGGTTATAAGCAATCTTTTTATATTAATCACTCAAACAATCACAGGTACCTGAGAACTGCTAAGCTGCAAATATTATATTACAGCACTATTAAAAGAACTAAATCCCTTGGAACTAAACTCACCCGATAAACAGGTTTGCTGTTGTGATTTCCAATGCCAATACGGACAAAGCAGCCAGTGACTGTCTTGGCAAAGAAGGGCATATGACACCATCGTTCCAGCTTGTGTCGCGATAACCGTACTCGGTTCAGTTCTTCAGGCAAGGACACTGGCTGGGACTTAGGAGGAATTTCTTCTTTCCTGATTTGAGAAAGGTAAGAAGGAATAAAGAAAAAAAAGTAGAGACATAATCACCAAAAAAAGTGCCCTGAGCAAGGTGCAGCATGAGTGCTAACTATTTAAATTACTACTAAAAGGAATGATTCATCATGTACTAGTTGACTGTAGATATGTGAATTTAGCATTCACGAGAAAGGCTTAATGCAAAGTCCCTCTTTGATCCACTGCCCTTGCTACCACAAAGCAGAAAGACTTACACACCAAGGCAGTTTATAGGCCAATGCTTTAAGATAAGCCAGCACACATCTCTACCCTGCTAATATGCCAGGGTTCTGCAGCTGCTAAACTCTAGGACTACACAAATCTATAAACAACAGTGTAAACGGGGCTAAAGGTAACAGCAGGGAGCTGAAGTTGCAAACCCATCCAAGGTAAATCAGTCCCATGCACCATGATATAGAAGCCAAGGACTCAAATCTGAGCAATCCAAGTGTGCCCAGAGGCAAAATCACTTTAGAGACACTGAACTGCCCCCAAACAATCCTCTAAAACAGCATGTGTCTACATAAAGTGGATCTCTGTTTTTGAACACACACTTACAAGTAACCACAGTCCAGTGTTTACTACTTACTCTTCCTCTTCATCAGAGGATGAGGATCTGGATGAACGATCACTTTTCTCACTAGACTTATCATCCTCCTCCTCCTCTTCATCATCAGAGTATACTTCACTAGTTTTTAATGGCTGTTTTTTTGCTAGTAATTCAGCTGGGGGAAGATGGACAGAGAACAAAGAAAAGCAAGCTATAATTTTTTTTTAATGAAAGCTTCCTTTTATAGCTGAAACCTTATTGTTTTAAAAAGAAAAAAAAAAGAAGAGGCAGATAGTTGTTAATTTTACACTGGATACAAGCGCAACATGTTCACAACAACTAGTAAGCTAAGCACTCCATTGTGTATATTCAAAGAGAGAAATCAAAATACTTAAAAGTATCTCAAATCTCAGTTGTACTATCTTCAGTCTCCCAACTTGACTGCATGTAGCGATACAAGATGGGCATAACAACTGGATATACAAGATAAAACTATTATAATCAGACAACTCATTGTTATTTCGCAAGGGAAAAAAAAAAAAATCTCATGTTTGGAGAGGACCACAATAAAACCCAGTAGAGTAACAAAAAGTGTTGCATCAAAAGTCTGTGGCAAGATGGACAAGACGATGTGCCAGTGAAGAAACAAGCAAATGTAGAAATGTAGACAAGATTGCACAAGTACAACAAATATAGTTTGGATGGTTCAGAGACTAAATAACAGAATCTAAGTGACCAATTCAAATATATGAACTAAATATTACTAAGTGCCATTCAATGGACTGCGATGAAAGTTTGTTTTCGACCCATTCCAGGGAGGGCAGGGGGCGAGGAATACAGCATCAGTGGTGCCAAACAATACCCTAAGTGGTCATGTTGGGCAAAGACCAAGGAAAACACAGACACAGAATTCATTCACCCCAAGGTGTAGGGACTGTTGCAATAATTAGAAACAGGAAGTAGCACTTTCAGAAAGCTGTAATAATTCCTCAAAAAATGTAGCTATAGCAACATGCTTTCATACCTGTTCTGTTCTTCCTTTTCTCTCTTTCTGCTTTTAGCTCCTCCATTGCCTGAGATTTCTTGTCCAGCTTCTCATCCCGCTTTGATCGCCGCTCTTTGTTATGTGACATGACCTAAAACACGCACAGAAAGTCCCTCAACACCAAGTGCAATCCATAAATTGAAATGCATTAAAATAAAGATTGTTTGCACACTTTGAAAACTTCAAATAGAAACTACTAACAAACTCCATTTTGAAATCAGTTTTCTTCAAGTTCATTTTTACAGAGGCTAAGGAGAGGGAAATCAATCTGAAGCATATTTCTATTTTCTATTTCATATCAAAAATAACAGACATATTTACACTTCAACATTTCTGCCACCAAGTTTTAGTCTCAAAACTCCTCCTTAAAGTTAAAAAAGGACTAGAGAAATAAAGTGGAAGTAATTCCGCAACTAACAAGTCATGGGGAAAAATTGGATGAATATTCTTCTCATCTGCTTCTCCTTCTGCAAGGCCAAATCAAGGCACTTGTTCTCATTCAGTAGCAAAGAGAAAAGTTACGTTAAAAAGAACAGTTAAAGCAGAAATAAAGTTGTGTGTAAAGTCTGCAATACGGATCCAAATCTTAAATGTTGTAAGTCTTCTAATATTTTCCGTTTCTAACAGGTCTATCTGGAATACCAGGTAGCACAGAAAGCAGCTTCTATAGTAAGCATAAGAGACGGTCATTTGAAGTAAGTCAATGCAGTTTCTGGATGGCACTGTAAAAGAACTCTGCATAAGATCCTTTTATACAGGCATATATGTATACACACCTACACATTATATATATGGACTATGTAAGTATATACACACACATGTACATATGTGGAGTTGAGAGGGGTAAGGAAGAGAGATTCACTCCACTTAACATATGCCTAAATGAAAACTCATCTCATCTAATTTGATTTAAGTTTTAGACATCTATTTCACTAGAAAATAAAATGGAGCGAACCGCCAGCTGGAGATGCCCTCCTCCATTGCACAAAGACAGAGGCGACAAGAAGTGCAAACCATCAACTAGTCCTTAGATGGCTGAAGTTAGGCAAGACGAATCCCATCCCATTCTGGAAGCCCATCTGCCCAGACACTATAAATAGTTAAGGGCAGGATCTTAACCATTTGAAACTACAGCTAATTCAGCCACTTGAAACTACAGTTCAGTTACAGAGGCCTCACCCCAAAAATGGTATTATCTGCTTTCCACTGGAGGTGGAAAAACTATAGAGCTACTTCTGCTCTTCCTAGCATTCAAGCTTTTCCTTGACACCCCTACCAATAGAAACTAACCATTCTTTCCATGTATGTGCATGCAAAATAATTAAGACAACAGCTGAGCAGTTTCTGGCCTGCTCTCTCAAATTTTCACTTGCAAGAAAGACTGCGTATGTAATGTTTCAGACTGAATGACAGAAGTTTGGCTAAAGAACTACAAAAGGTTGCTTTCCTGTTCTCATATGGGAGGACTATCACAGCAACTCTAGATATAGCTGCAACTTTGCACTTTTCATTAAAAGGAGTTATCAGCACACCCCTCAGCAGGCCAAAGATGTTAATTTCTCTAAATGAACTGAAAGGCTAAAGATAGCTTGAGCGTATAAATGAACTAAATCCTGACCTGCTTACCACACTGTTCGACATTAAAGGAAAACATTAGTGGCAGAGAGAGGCAGCATCCTACGTCCTACTGCCAAGGGAAAAGGGTTTGTTACTAAGGACAATTTCATTTCCTACCTGGGATTCCTGGATCTGTGTGAGTTTTTTCTTCTCCTGCTCTTCCTCTTGCTTTTTCTTTTTCTCTTTCTTTTCTTTCTTCTTTGCTGTTTTTAGTTTCTTCTTGATTTCAAATCTAGTAGCAGATATTGAAATAAAAAGAATGTATGAAAGAATGTTCTCTCTCTGAGTGAGCAAAGTACCGCTCAGGTGCTATCACAGCTCAAGTTGTCAGTAGGCTGTAAGGAACACTTCCCCTGCTTGCCCCAGATCGATAACCCTTTAACGCTATCCTGTCCCCCACTCCCATCCCCTCCCTTCCCCAAGAAAAGCTGAGCATAGAAAAGTGCAGGCTTACAGACAGCTAACCTAAGGGGCTGAGGAGACCACATAGTAACAGCTGCTCCCCAGAAACTTGTCCTTACTGCATCTTCATCTTTGCCAGCATAGTGATCATTGCATGCTGCCTCCAACTCTAAAAACTATTGGCTATTTCACATAATTTGAATCTCAACAGCTAAAAACTTGGTTGTTTAAAGCCACTATCATGCTAACTTTTGCATGCTTAAACTCCACCTTTCTACTGGCACTGGTATGTATAAGAATGACTGCAAAGAAGTCACAGTGAGTCCTCCTTCAGCAGCTACATTCCAATCAGATTCAGGCAGTTTCTGCAGTCCAATTTAGACACTTCCATTTCTACCTTCACAAAACATGTCACCCTGAAATCTTATTTTCAGCCACTATATTCAGAAGAGTAGTGATTTCGCTGCAACTGTCCTGTGACTGAGATTCCACTGCACCATGAACTGGGCATTGCTTTAGTGAAGTGTGCATATGGACAAACAGAAGGGAAAAAAAAAATTACTTAACTTCCAATAACTGAAATTCAAAATGTGTTATCCACATTCATACTACACAGTCCATTCTTCTTCAGTTGTTTACACCTGGATTTTGTAGGCAAGAAACTGAAGTGCCAGATGAGCTTGTTGCCCTTTATGCGTTTAACATGAGGCATAACACACAGGGCACAGGCATTGTATCACATGCAATGCCTACTGTAATCCCAAAGAACTCACAGCACAATGTACATACAAAGAGCTAGACAGCATTTTGAAAGATTCAACTTACCATAAAGTTAAACAACTAACCACCCCCCCCCCCCATTAGTTTTACCTGCCAACCCCTTTACATAGAACAGGACAAACTTGCTTAAGATTAAATCAGTAACTCAAGCTTAGATTGTTTAGCTTGTTGTATTAGGTATTCTCCAGTGTTCCTTCTAAAAGACAGACATTCAGTTACCACAGAATAGTAAACGAAATTAAAAATTATGGTGTCCTTCTACCTGACCTAAATCCAATCTTTCACTCATTCTGATCCCTTTGAGGAGAACAGCAGACTAGAGTAGACATTAAAAGTAGTATTAAAACCACAGACAGACAGGCAGTGCTGTAACTATGGCTTTGACAAATGAAGTCTGACAGTAGCTTGTATTGACATGATTTACTCAACAGATGTCAGTCCTCTAGAGAAACTTCTCAACAAGTGAGAAAAGAGAGAAGTCACTGAAAATGGAAGAAACTGGAGAAAACTTGCTCCACACGTGCCAAATGTTTTCTGTTAGACACACTGGAAGAAAAATACCTTTACTACAAGGAAGCTGCCTGACAGGACAGTCTTACAGTAACAAACAAACAAAACCACCACACCTGAGCTAGAAATCCACAGACAATCCCTTGAAAATGACATATCCAACACAACTCCTCATTGTTTCAATCTCTCTCTCTTTTCTATTAGGGCCCCAACCAGCTTCACACCCATATGGAGGCAAACCTAACACCGCTCTGTGCTTCACCATTGTTTTCTGAAAAATTCCAGAAGCTCATACACACCTTACACTTTGCCTTTTTCCAGAGTATCAGTGTGTGACAGCTGACACAAAAAAAGACAGAAGAGAAAGCAGTCCTTCTGACTGTCTGGCATCCAGTGTGTAAAGCAGTAACATGGCTACAATGGTAGCTGACAGAACCATGCCTATTCAACACTTGAAAAACTTTCAGAAACTGACTTTTACAAGAACACGCAGAATTCCTCTTGTGCTTCCCAACTAGCTACAAGGACAGTTTACACAACAAATCTACAATGAAGCTTAATTCACTTTACAGTGCTGAATGCTTGGACCCCAAACATGAGAGCACAATCAGCATACTCTCCATACAGCCTGTATGAATTTACTACCAAATATCAACAGATAGAAAATCCACCTTCTCTTTAGCACTTCTCTTTTCTCTATCCGGTTAAACAGCTCCTGCTCTCTCTCCTTTTCTGTCATTTGTTCCAGTCGAGCTCGGTCTTCTTCATCTCCCATAAGATCTTCTCCATAGCCATCATGGAATTCCTCATCTTCAGATGAAGAATCTGAATCTGAACTAGATGAGGAGCTGTTGCTTTCCGAGTCAGAGACTTCTCCTAAAACAAAAATACAAGGCAGTGAGATTCAACTGGGGCAAAGCCCAACCACTTCCTTGTAGCATGTTAGCAAAGGATACCAAGAATGAATTTTACACTCCTCTTCCACTATACTAAAAGCTCAGGAAAACTAAACCCAGGAGGAAATACTTTATTACCCTAAGATGTGCATGCTAAAAAGTGATAAAATGAGTGGTACTACATGTGAACACAAATTTGGTTATAAGTGAAAATTCTTAGTAGAACAAGTATATTTTAGGAGGCCTTTTGGTTGGTGTGTTAGGGTCTTAAGGTTAGATTTCCATGCCTATATGCTTATGTCCCTGAGAAATTGCTTATACATCCATAACTTTGTAAGTGTGTGTGCCCACCTCAAATGCCACTATTAACCACCACCAATACTCCTCATTATACCAACCTGAAGAACAAAAATTTGTCATTTGAAGACTGCAACACTATGAATTGCTACATCACAAGATAAAGTTGAAACACACTACTGTTGGGACTGGCAAGGCTCCATTACTGTAACAAGCCCTCCCAGTTACACATGGGCTTAGGGAACAGCTGACTCCCCAATAATAATGGGTAACACCACTTTTCAACTTGACCTAAGCCCAAGTGCTTTGATTATCTCACCTAATCGACTGCATTACATCAAATCACAAAAACAAACATTAGAATTCTTCCTTTCACTTTCATTCTGGTCTCAGCATTTCTGGAAACTTCCAGCTTTGCAATTGTATATCGTGAAAATCCTTGATTTGTAAGCACTGATATATACAGGTTCAGTCACTTCATGCTTTGGTCTGTCTCCACTGTGCTTAATATACTTAAAAATGTAGGGTCCTTCATATTCTTTCTTAACTTGGTTTTTTTAGTATCAACCAAAATCGCAACTAATCACCTGCAAACCTTCATGGGCATGATGAAAACAGAAAGAACACAGGCAGTTCGCTCAGCATTGGAACAGATTCAATATTCATGTAAAGAAATTCTGTCAAAGTTATAGTAACGGTTTTTCTTCTTCTGTGTCAGTATAAACATGCAAGAATTCCAATTCAGAGCAAATCCATGCAAGATAAGCTCCTATTTGCATCACGCAACACTATACACCTCTCCCTTTGTCATCACAAGTTTGGGAAGAGAAAATAAGTCAATGGGAATAAAAGAAAGTGCTACCCCACACTACAGATGGGACATGCTAGAAGGAAGACAAGAATTTTCCAGGAGAAAGTCAAGTAATGAAATATGTCATACATTCTTCAACTGAAACAGTATTTAGTGTTGCAGTTGTCATGGAATACTTACAGTAATGCCATACTGAATTATATGCACTTCAAGCCATGGCAAGTTTAAGAGTCATCCAGACTACCAGTGACACAAAGAAAACTCTTTGAAGGAAGTCTTTAACATCACCATTTAACGTTATTCTTCAGTGTGCACAAAGGGGTACCTTCACTTGGAATTATACTGTAAGTAGATGCACATGTGTTATCTTACCCTCCTCAGGTGCCGAGCTCTCAGCCGAGCTGTCCTTATCTGAGCTGCCTGAAGAGGCAGCTTTGTTCGTCTGTTTCTTCATGGCTCCTTTCTTCTCTGCCTTACCCGCTTTTCCCTTTTTTTTGTTTTTAGAACCTCCAACAGTCCACTGCAAGGAAAGAACCAAGAAAGGGATCATGAGACATGAACGTCACTCTTTTCTCCCTCCCCCAAAACACTGGAGTAAAAACAACTGAGAAACAGTCCAATACCTGACAGCACCAAACCAAACATACAAGGAAAACAAAAAAAAGAGCCAATAGGAAACTTAACAAATGAAAGCATTTTAGAAGTCTTTTTGGGTTTGGGGCGGGGGGCGGGGGGTGTTCTGTGGTTGTTTTGGGTTTTTTCCTTAAAAAACAAAACAAAACAAAAAAAACACACCACCAAAATCAGTTATCAGTGGAAACCAAAAGTTGGTAGGACACTCCTTTTAAAAAACAATGAAGACATCAGAGTCTGCAATATCCACCCAGAGAGAAGACGTACTGGAAACATTTTCCTAGCAAAATACTTCTAAACAACAAGTGTCCAACTGCATTTGTAAAGATTAGCTTCAGTTTACTCCTATTAAAAAGAAGCAAAAGATGTGTTTCCAAAACTAGTTTATTCAAGAGCAGATTTTAGATTTCATGAAGGCACACCAATTATACATGCCAGTCTTTCTAAAAATCTCAGTTTTACCAAGAGTACACAGCATCTGTATTTTTATGCAACAAACCAAAAGTGTACTTGCTCATAGACAGTAGTGCCACCACCTGCATCTACGTACACAAGTCAGAATCAAATCAGAATCACAGAAGTCAGGAAAAAAAAGAAAAAAATCAAATGTCAAGTCTTAATTTTAATTTTCTCTTGATACCATATCTTCAATTAACTCAGATTGAATTTCCAAGTACAGGACGTATACTACCACACACACGGGTAGCAACTTTAAATCCTAAAGTCCCAGAAGAAGAACTAGTATGTACCTTACAGTGTGATTTCTTATTTTGCATTGTCCCAACTACCTGGGTAAAATCAGAAGGGAAGAGAACAGGTAAGGATTGCCTACGTATTATTTTAAGGCTTCACAATATTTTGCACTTCACTACCTCTCCCAGTTTCTTTCTAAATATATATGTTTTTTTAGGTTGTTATCATCTTCATATCTGTATATTACTGTCATCTTTCATGCATATCACCATCTGCTCAAGCACACAGTCCACTAAAAAAAATTCCTAATTCAAATGAGCAAATACTCTTTTACATAACTGAGTTCTTGCACTCAAAACTACTCTTGACTGGAAAAAAATAAATCTTTAGATTTGACCTCAGTTGCACACAAACTTCAGGCTTCTCACCCATTCACCCCTTGCTGCAGGATGAATCAAAGTCCATCTCTGCAGGCAGTAATCATTCCATCAAATTCGATGACTTCTGCCTGATTAGGCACCATCTTCAGAGAACCCTGGTGTTCAAATACTCTAAATGAAACTCAACCAAGCAGCTAGAAGCTACTACCTGATCTACTAATATCTTTAGAATTTCCTAGGTTTTGATTACTCTTGCACGCAGCCTTGTACCTTCCATATTACCTACTGCTTCATTATCTACTTTAAGCATCAGCTGTGTATTCAAAAGTATTTGTCAAAGGCCAGGCAGACGTTTTCTTTTCTGAGGTAAAAAGTACAGCTACCTAGTGGGAAGCCTCCGATTGCAATCCATACCCTATGCAGTTACCCCTGTCCGTTATGGTCCATAGGATAGGTGAGAAACCACACAGTGAGCATCCGACTCTCTATCAGCCTGAGCTTGCACTCAAGTCTTTATTGGCTTCCACATTAAAGTTTTACTTGTTCAGTGTTACAATACTGCTGCCTAATAATATTCCTAGTTAACTATGCCCATGTAAATGTCCTGGGTTTGGCTGGGATAGAGTTAATTTTATTCCTAGTGCTTTTGGATTTAGTATGAGAATAATGTTGATAACACACTGATGTTTTAGTTGTTGCTAAGTAGTGCTTACTCTCAGTCAAGGACTTTTCAAGTTCCCCATGCTCTACCAACGAGGAGGTGCACAAGAAGCTGGGAGGCAGCACAGCCAGGACAGCTGACCCGAACTAGTCAAAGCGATGTTCCATACCATAGAGCATCATGCCCAGTATAGAAACTGGGGGAGTTGGCCGGAAGCGGCCGATTGCTGCTCGGGAACGGGCTGGGCATCGGTCAGCAGGTGGTAAGCAATGGTATTGTGCATCACTTGTCTTTTCTTGGGTTTTATTCCTCTCTGTTGTCTCCCATTTCATTACAATTATTATTATAATATTTTATTTCAATTATTAAACTGTTCTTGTCTCAACCCACAGATTTTACCTTTTTTCTGATTCTCCTCCTCATCCCACCAGGGAGTAAGCGTGGTACTTAGTTGCTGTCTGGGGTTACACCACGAGAGTAAATCAGTTAAGAACAAGCTTGTACTCCACCTGAATCTGCTCAAATCTCAATGTTAAGGAATCATTCTCCTAGGTATTACAGAAAAGTGCGTTTTTGCTCTTTGTTCAAGAGCTCACCTACTGCCAGCATACCAGACACAACAGTGAGAAAGTGAAACTAAGTATTTGGCAGAGAGCAGCAGAGCCCTCTGAGCCAGAGATGCAGAGGTGCCTCCTTTCCAGAGCTCTGCCATTTCTTTTCAGTGTTCCAACACGGAATTATACCTTCCGCCAGCATGCTGTGTAGCAAGGAAGAAGCAGAGAAAGCCATACCAGTTCAATCAAGACCTTGAGAGGTCATGCTGAGATGAAAGAAGTTAAGATCAGATAAAAACAGTGGGACTTCATTTGTTAATAAAATGTTTAATAGCTGTAGATACATGTGTTACAGATGACTGTTCTCAGTCTTGGACTCCCAACTGGAATCGTGGAGAGAACCTGAAGGGAAAGCTGCGTGATAACCTCTTGAACAAAAAAAGACTAATAAAAAACCAAAAATCTGCCTTAATCTAAGAAATTCTGCTTTGGTTTCTATTTCACCCTGGAGATTACACTTCATCTTGCTTTTGTTTAAAAATTGACCTCTACGTCTCTTCAGTCACTGTAACTGGTTATCCCATCGCCATTTCAGCGCTGTAACAGAGCTAAATGCTTTCTCATCCAACTCAGGTGCTTCAGGGCTTACTGAGCTACCCCAGTCTCTCATGAATGCCTGGTCATTCCCGGTACTACTAAAGGACAAGACAAGGGTTTGAGCAAACCTCAAGGACAAACAAATCATCAAAACCAGGACGTAGCTGGTGGAAGGCTCTTAGGTTCACAGATTGCTCCACAGGCTCAGGAACCATCAGTTGTCATTTGGACACTGAATGACCACTCCGTATTGTTCAGAGAGAGCCTAGCCAACATCAAGCCGCTTCTTACAGCGGAGGAAGACAGAGACCAGCAGGTCTGAGGAGGGCACGGGGTGGGTGGGGGGGAAGACAATACTGGAAAGCCATGAGCTGCTTGGCAACCTGCAGTCCACACCAGAGTCTTGAGGTCCCTCCTCACGCTCTAGCACACCAGCAGAAATCAGAAAGGCAACAACATGTTTGCATATAACATCAAGTAAAAATGCACACACAGTTATAGCCAGAAGCATGTTTGCTCTGTTTCCCTTAACTCCATATATCTCAAACAGCAAACAATAACCATATTTTCCAAAATCTATCCTCTACTGCAGCTTCCCCAGATTCCTTCTTCCATGTTCTGGTCAGGCAGAGCCAGTCAACACTTCTCACATGCTTTCCATGACTATAACACCTCCTCTGAACAGCCCCTCTATTCACTGCTGCCTCCTCAGTCGCCATCTGGAACCCTCCATGGTTCCAGACACAGCAAGATAATAAACCCATGCTGCAACACGGCTTCCTGCTTATTGTTTAGCACTATCGAACAACAGGGCTTTATGGTTCATTCACAGGAAGCGGCCAGAAGTGCCTTTCAATTTTTCCCTCTCGCTTCCAAGGTTCACAATGTTAATAGCCTGTGCGTTTCCCCCAAGAAACAGTTAGACTCGATCTTAAAGGTCCTTTCCAACCTAAATGATCCTATGATTCTAAGAAGTCCAAGTTAGGCCACAATACCCAGAATGGACCGCCAATAACAAAAAAGCCCTACATTAGAAATTAGCCAGATTTAGAAGTCAGCTTCTCCAAAAGCAACTACACAAAATGCCTGAAGAAAATAATTTATAGCTCAGCAAACCTGGAACATATTTCCACTAGGGAAACAAAATGAGATCGAGGAGGGGGAAAAAAGTGAGCTCTGAGTGCAGAATGCAGTAGAATTGTTTTACCCCCACTGCACAGACAGTCACTATTTTCTTCTATTCACACAGTACCTAAACGCATTATTCACTGAGATTTTATTTTGCAAAGAGGTATTCTCCCTGCCCTTTTCTTTTATTTGTTAACATCTAACTGGACAGAGATGCACAACCGAGGTTACCAGTCTGTCCTTGCCATACCCTTCCCTCCTGGATATGGCTTTTATAAGCAAAAGGAAAATTACAAGCCACAACATCAAAGCAAAACAGGTCCCTTACCAATGTGTTCCTTTCCTAGGCCAGACAAACTTGCACACCATGACAAGATGACAGCTTAAGAGCGCCAAGGTATATAACATTAGCCCAGTCTACAAACTTTCATCCGTTCTCCTCCATTCATACGGGGGTAACAAAAGGCAGTCCTCCAGGCAAGTCATCAATCTGCAGTTTCAGCCTGTCTGAAGGCAACAGCAGGCAGCACAGATACGAAGATAAGGCAGCATGTACGGTCTTCAGGGTTTCTCAAAGCTGGGAGAACTCTGGAGACAGCACTCCAAGAGCTGCAAGGAGGAAAATGCTCTCTACCACTAGTGTTTAGCTAAATAGTAAATAAAAAACCCTTGTTACTTTTCCTGCCTTTCAGGGTCTGCACCTGTCATTCAGACACCTCAAACACCTTCACAATGACAACAGCTCAGCAATTAGAAAACTTAAAGGACCATTTTAGACACAAAGGGGAGACTCAAAGAGTCAACATCAAAATGGAAAGGAGGTAAGCAAATAAAGGAAATAACTTCTGAAGCCACAGAAGAGGCTTTGCCACGAACTGGCTGAAAGCAGGTGTCATGGGCCAAAATATCACCAGGCACCCGATCCAGATTTATTGTTTAAGTACTGCTCAAAGGAGCTCACAGAAAGGCAACTATGAAGAAAGAAGTCTACCTATAGTAGGTTCAAATTCAGTCTAAGTTGCAAGTTAACATTTGCTCTAGAAGTATTTTGAGGGGTCCATGTATTGAAAAGTGGCAAGAACTGCTAAGTGACAACATCAAGATGGTAGATACCAAATGCCAAGGAAGAAGCACTCTCAATAATCAAAACAAACTTGGGGATGCTACTACTGTGAAAGCCTGCAATGTTTTATTTAGGAAGCCTGAGCCAAACAGCTAGAGATGGCAACAGCCATAAAACACTTGGTCAATGAGTGCCTTGCATGGCTCTAGCATCTCCAGCAAGCATCATCTGGACTAACAAAGGCTTAATGACTTCTTTAGATATTAGACAGTGCCTTATGACTGGATTGTTCTCAGCAAAAACTGCTCCCTGGGTACAAAAGAAAAGTTAATTCAGTGAAAAAAATTAAATAAAATCACATATTCAATTCCAATACCTCCATGAGTCTATTTCTGGAGCAACCTGCTCCACTTCAAAGCCCCTGCAGACTCTCATACCACACAAATCAAGTCCCCAGAAGTTATCCCCGTGCTAGTTTGCAATTTAAAGAAGCTACTTGCAGACCAAATTTTATACCTATTTTGTCCACAGCTGGTTCACATTACTTCTTTGGACATGTTAGTCTCCATACAATTAGCCTGCACTATTCAGATCTGCACTTGTACTTTGGGGTAGGGGAAGTAACAGCACCTCTTTTCCTTAAGAAAAGCTTTACTATTGCACCCATTAAGAGCTGAAGGAAACTGCCTCCAAGAAAAGTCAGTAACAAAGCACACAGCCTATAAGGCTGTATATAAGAAGATTAAAGCACAACCCGTTTCAAATTTCCTAAGCTTGAAAAAATGTATGGCAAAGGCCTCACAGGACTGGAGAACCCCCACTCATTCTTGAAGGTCTAATTAAGCAGTATTATGAAAAAAAAGCACACAGGAAAAGAAGACATTTACCATTGTAATCTCTACAAACCCACAAAAGACAGCCCCAAAACAGAAGGAACAAATGCAGTTTTCTGCTAATCTGTAGTTTACTAGAGTGCTCTAACTTGGAAGTCTAGTAAGTAGACCCAAAGTTTCAAGTCCTTTCCTCATAATAGGGGTATAAAGCATTCTAGGCCAACTGTTATTCAAGACTGATTTCCTCACTAGTTGCATGAACACTGCTCATTTCCTCCCCTCTTCCATAGCTGGACAAGACCCTCAGCTATGCCATTTCCTAGTGAATCCGCACATTTGCAAATACAGGCATAAAGAGATAACTGCTCACTAAACTCCAGACTAGTACCAAACATTCGTGACAGAACTTTTCTTGTCATGAAAGTATCTTCTGCCATCACCCTAGAGCTGTTAAAAGGCACAACCAAACCCCTCACAGCATTAGAATGAGCGTAGAAGGATGCACAGACTTACAGCAGCATTGCTAACAACTAACCTCTCAAGAGAAACAAACAGGAGCTCCTACAGCATTGTGGCTTTCTGTCTAACCTACACTGATGTTAGTGATATTGCATCCAGGTTTCACCACGCAACAGAAAGAAGTCTTTACTGTAAGCAGTGATGCCAGGATAAAAGGAAGAGCATGAACCCAGAATTAGCCTACTGCAACTGATGAACACCATTCCACACAATGTCTTCAATAAGTAATGAGGGTACCTTGTGGACATGTATAGCTCCAGCATAGTAGCCCCAAGAGTAACTTGGCTAACAACAAACTGGTTACGAGCAGCAAGCTAACAGTTTGGGATGGTGAGCTCTTGAGTAGTCATGGTCACAAGTTGCTTCACGGATAAAGGAACTGTCTGCCTCCACATCTGCATCCATCTTAGTACATCTCTTTGCAGTGAGATGTACTATATTTGCAAAGCCCTGCAGTCACTGCTATTTATCAGCTCTCTGAATAGTTCATAGCCAATTCAATCACGCACATTCCACAGACCCACCAGAAGATAGTTCCTATTTCACTGCCTGCAACTCACCTTCAGTCCCTTGGCTAGGCAATTTGATTCAGACCACAGAGGTCCTTAAAGCGTTACAGAACCCAGCATCTGCACCATGAACAACTGATGTGGCTAATAGCTTTCATAGAAGCGCATTCTCACTGAGACACATGAAATATAACATTAAAGATCTACCGAAATCCCTTGGGCACCACCGTATAGATGTGGCATGGTTTGTACATGCTGTCATTCTATAATTCCAAAATGCACTTTCTCTCCCCTATGCCCCACAAACTTTCCTTAAAAAAAAAAAAATGCAGAATCCAGCATTAGCCTGCAAAGCAGAGATTTAGGCTCCTTTCCTGTGCATGCAATATAGTGACAATGCTGGAATGTTTAGCACTTGCCAGGAACCACGAAGGACAGGCACAGTACAAAACCTGTGTGGAAGCACATGGGTATGATTAAGCATGTTTGCCCAGGGCAACAAATTCCATGCTTTTGCCTCAAGGTCCTCATCTTGCAAGAAGTCCAGTAATACAATTTCAACTTTTAGACCCCCTCTCCCATCCGCCAAGGTTGAGCAAACCTCAAACCAACCACAAAAACACCGATTAAAACCAAAGTTGGGCAGCAGGAGTAGTGGAGTCAAGCCTAGGGATGCACACAACTGAATGACTGGCAGAAGCAGAACTGTTATAACCCAGCCTGCCTCACCCTGCTGTGACAAGCAGCAGTTCAGAATGCATACTTCTGGCACAGGAATAGAAGCAAGCGTCCTAATTACCTCTCCTCTCAATCTTTTCCTCTTGCTGCATGGAGGTCAGAAAGAACAGAGTATCAATTAGAAATGATACACAGACTAGAAGAAGTATCAAATGCACATGGTGCAACAGATATACTACTGCATCTGCAAGGCCTCTGCAAATTCGTGAAGAGATGCATTGTCATATTCTATATATAAGGAAAGGTAGGCCTTACTAGTAGTTACATAAGCTAAAATAATAATTTGAATAATATTATTTATTCTGTCAGTTTTCAGAGATAAACACAGAAGAGAAGGCTTTATTATTGACATGATCCCCACACCTAAGTCTACTTTTCCAGACAAGCTGGTCTCTACACAGCTTAGAATAAATAAGCTGCGTGCCAGCAGATCTGAACATACACAGTGACAGACTGAGTGGTCACCCAATAACAAACCTAATATATCTAGTCCCTTCACAATTTTCTCTCTCCTTATGTCTTAAGCATATATTAGATTTTTTTTTTCCCCAAGAAAAGAATTGATTGAAACAGTTCCAAGCATATTTATTTCAAAAACAGCTCAGAAAGAAAATTAAACCACACATTCTTTACACTTACGGGAAGAACTCTGCTACACTACCAAATACTTAAGAGTTTATCACTGTCCTACCCTATTGGTCTTCAAGTTGTCACAATGAATAATCCTTCCTGTAGTTTCAGAAAAAAAAAAAATCGATCCCAAACAGCTCCCTGTTAAATCTCGAAGAATAGATGGTTTAAATGACCTCACTACATTGTGCAGAAAGCTTGCAAAAGACATTTGTAAGCCTTCAAGAAAGTGTTTTTATTTAAATACCTGTATGACCTGTTTGTCAGTTCCTCTGTTTTAGTAAGTCTATTTCAATTTTCATTTACAAATGAAAGCAGAGACTTTTAACCAGCTCTAGAATCTAGTACCAAGAACAAATAATAAAAACAGATCTAGCAGATAAGGACCGCTATACAAGGAATTGACAAAACCCTAGAACAAAGTAATGCTAAACTCTTCCTTGCCTCACTTTCTTCAAAAATGCCAATAAAAACACACTCCGTTGCATGTTCAAATGACCAGATAAACTAGTTCACAGCAGGGTTCTTGCAGCATCAAAGTAGCTAAACAGAACAGTTTTACCACCTATAAAATAGTATGACCTGCCTTGATCCTTTTTTCCTCTGAGGAAGTAAGCTCTCTTCTAAAGCTGAAAACCTCTCTTCCTTAATTCAGAGCCCAGCTTTAGCAGCTTCACTGCTACTTCAATCGCAACCACTACCCAGGAAAAGCACTAGTTTTAAGCAGGCAGATCACCAGACCATATGAACATGGGATGAAACAGGCAGCCATCTTTTCTATAGATATTCAGAATATTTGGTATACAGTTACAATTCAAAGCATATCAATTAGATGAAAAAAAGTAGTATTTCTGAGTACACATCCTCTGGACTTAACAGGTCTCCATCAGTTCTACTGATGGCCAACCCTACTTTCTGAAGTCAGCAGGCTAAATATACTGTATGACAAATACACTTTCACTGCTTAGGTACAATCAGACAAATAACCCATAGTAATTTCACTGATAACATGACAAACTCACCTCATCATCACTGTCTGATGTCTCAGAGTCTGAAGATGCTGTAGGTTTGCTCACAGGTGGCTCCTTTTCTTCAGAGTCACTGCGTTTCCGTTTGGCCAATGACAAGAGCTCCTGGTGTGAAAAACCATGCATTTATTTTAAAATGTCATAATTAGTTTTAACAATCCAGGTCAGCACACATGCACCTTCTCTGATATCTGAGCACATCCCAGTAACACAACTATCCCCACTGACTAAGGAACAAAGCCTACTTACGTTTCATAAATATATATACATATATATACACAAACACAATTTTAATACAGCCAGATGCTACAAAAGGATTTTGAGGTTAACAAGCTATAAGAAGTAAATACTGCTACCATTACTTTCTTGGTATAAACAACATAAGACACAGTACTTTCAGAGTCATGTCCAGGTCTGTTTTACTTGGATTGAGTAATAATTCAAAAACACCCTAACTGCATTGTGCAGCATTAACTCAAAAAGCCAAATACCACTAGAGAGCAGCTGCTTTTTCTAAACAAAAGAGACGTCTGCAATAATACACTTTGAAAGGGAAAGACTTTCGGCATCATCACGATGTCATGGCTAATAATATTTAGTCCGCTTGTTCAATTCCTTTTCACTGTCCCTGCACACCAGAGAATACACTTAAAGCTTTGGATAGACACAGAGCAGGCATCAAGCTCAAAGTCTGTGAAACTAAGTAGGGCTGTTCTCCTCCAGAGGAAGGACTTTCAAAGACAACACACACCAGCAGAAAGAACTAAATGGCTCTCAATAATCTCATCATCTGCTGTTCACAGCTTGTTCAGATGACAGAACCAGTAGTATAAAACAAACATTTCTGAAGCTGCATTACCGTCTTTGTAGTCCATGACACATAATTTATTCTTAAAAACATTGCTCTGGGGCTGATGAACTTTAGCTGTGAGTAGAGATCCAGTCACACCAACTTCTGCGGTCTTGCAAAGTCAACACTAGATTGGTTTGCACTAGTTTCACAACTGAAAGATTATCTCCACAGCAAATAGATTACAATTTAGTACCTCAAATGAGAACATAAACACTGCAGAAACTGATGGCTTAGGCTACTTACCAACAAAGAAACTCTCCATTAGTAATGGCATTTTACAAACCTTTCTCTGAAGAAGGCACGCAACATCAACAGAGCACGTCTGTAAAATTAACAGTTCTCTTCGGGAAGCTCCTGATGTTTTCTACAATCTTTTCTAGAATTTCTCTCTCAACTGTCTCTAAGTAGTCCTTCAACCCAGATTACCTCCCTGGATGGTACCTTGGCGTATTTACCATTACTTTTATTCCAAGCAATTTTCCTTCTTTCTTTCTACCCTTGTTTTGTTTTCCAGGATACTATATTAAAAAGGCTCCTACTTTGATTCAACGAGCCTAGACTGCCAAGGGAAGCTGTCAAACATTTAACCTACAGGGGCTTCACTCAGTATACTCTCATCTTTAAATCACACCACAAAAACATTGCTTCCCTGCTACCTAATCTTCATCCTTGCACATACGTATCCCTGCTGTTACAGTCGCTACAAACAGCTCGGTGGCGGAGGAAGCACCTACTTCTCAGCTGCAGATGCGCGCTTCCAGCGAACGATGGAACAGATGCAGAACCATGTGGTTATTCCTACCACCATCACTCTGATTGCCTGATCTATGCTAGAGCTAGTCCAACTCCTTCTATTTTCAAGCTCTGCAGAAACTACCAAACTACTGTATTAGTGGTAAGATGTTGGCAGCTCTAAAGACTCTAGAGGCATGCAAGATCAACAATACCAGAGCACGCTCTGCTCCAGTGTATTTGTGTAACAGAGCCTCAGATTTGATTTTTCTGAAGCTCCAAAATTATTTTTGAGTGTTTGGGAAGGCTTTTTATTGCAACATAGCAACAGCTTCTATATTAAAAAACCTGAAGGTCCAGCACATAAATTACATCAGACATGTAGATTTCAGCATATTTCACCAGTCAAACTTCACCCCAGAACAAGCACTGCCATACAAGATGCAACACACTTCACCTATAATATCTTTATTTACCATTTGAACCACATCATCAACACCTGCTACACCGAAAGAGGGGTCTTTGAAAGCAGCCCCCTCCAAAGAGGAAGACGCCACCTTGGCAGCCCTGACACGGTTAAACTGACACCAGACATCGCACTCCCAACCCCGGGAGATGCCCTGACGATAAATAAATACTTCCCCTTGTTACATTCTACAGGGTCCTAACTCCACGCAGTTTCCCATCAGCAGAGCCCCCCCAGCTCAGTCGCCAAGACGGAGGAGGGAGCGTTAAACAGGTATTAACAACCCCCGCGGGAGCCCGACTCACCGGGCCGGCGGGAGGCAGGGACCTGACGCGCTGCTCTCCCTAACAGCTCTCCCGGCGTGCGAAAGCCGCACAGAAAAGTTGCCCAACCCTTCGGGCCTCTTCCCCCACTA